TGGACACTGCTCAGTTGTTTCCTTGCCGTGTTTCCTGAACTGCACGATGATTCTGTTGATTGTCGAAAGTGGGATTCCCAAATTCTGCAAAATTTGCCGCTGACTTATTCCGCCATCTGCTTGACCAACTATCCTTCCTCTAACAAAATCTGACAATTCGAGAGAACCTTGAGTTTTGGCATGTTGTAGCACAAGATAATTAGTGTGTGGACCATTTTCATTCATATAGCACTCTGTGAACACAAATTAGTTAGCATAAATCAGCTAAATGACGAAAAATTAGATGTCTATTTACTTGTGACCACTCAGTGTACATGGTAGTTAATAAACAATAGAAAAATATAAGGGAAATAATGAGATTTAAATTTTAAGATTGCACATAATATCATGAATATGATAGATCGACTCCACAGATTTAAATTAATACCCAGTAATATTTGCCCATATTGCCTCTGTATAGAAACAATAAAACATGCCTTTTTCGACTGTCCAAATGTTAAAGTTTATTGGAGAAAGGTTGCCTCTATCTTTAAGGTTAGACTTCTCAGTTACACAACTGTATTGTTTAGCACTCCAATTTATGTAACTAAAATGCATAACTTTTATTTTATTTGTGAGTGAACTAAATTACCAGATTTAGGCGTCAAGCTGCAGGGTAGTGTACAGCAACCTTAGGTAAAATGTCCTGGTGGTCATGAGAAGAGTAAGTGCAAGTATAAGAATATGAGTGAGTTACGACTAGCGTCATCTCACAGAAGCAGATTTAAAAAAAAGGTGGGCCCAGAGAAATCCTGTTTATTTGAACAAAGAGATGGATTACCTATACTATTCACTATGTCAATTCAAACATCATGTTCTACTTCAAGTAGCTGGAAGAGTGGAAGAGCTGCTGTGGGCCAATGAAAGCTGGAGGTGTAAACCTGGTAGGATGTGGTGATTGTGTACTTGGACTACATAGGTGCTTGACAAATGGTGAAAGGCCCAAAAAGTACAGAGACCTCTACTATGTAGTACAAGTTGTAATGTGTAAAATTGCAGTTAATTTTGTCATTCTTTAACATTTTAAAAAACATAAGTTACACAATCTACAAGTAAATCTATGAGAGAGAAGAACAAGCAGGTAAGTATACCTCTGTTTAGTTATCTGTTAACTCTTTATTTTCCATTGATATCAAGGGTTGTTTATGTTTAATTTAGTTTTAACTTACAGAATTAATTTTAAATGCATTGTTAAGGGACGAGAGAGGCAAACTTTTACCTTCTCTTTATGCCCTTGTTCAGTATTTAACAATACCAGTGCACAGAGCAAACATTTGTGGCAAAATTAATATTAAGGTAGTTAATGAATATAACTGAAAAGTTATATAGGTAGAATTAGGTATCTTTTTTGCCTCAAAAACATGATTCTTAACATTGAGCTAAGATCAAACTGTTTAGCAGTTTTTACATAAACTTATTTTATTATACAAAGCTCTTTATGTAATTCAAATACATATCCCATTGTTGATACACTCATTTGACTTTGACAGTAATATCTAAAAATTAAGTCAGTTTGATCATAGTCTGGTCTGTATATTATTTTAAAGTATGCACGTTTGATGTGAATGAAACAAAACTTTCATAATTCAGATTATTCAAATGGATGTGAAAAAACTTATTTTTCTGAAAAAGAATCAACTTTAGTACATTCCATTGGTAAAACTGCCATAAAATATAATAAGTATCTTCCTCAAAAATTAACTTCAGCAGTGCAGCTTTCAGTAAGCAGGACTGCTATATGAAAGAGGAAACCTTTCCCTAGAAAACTACTCTTCAACATGATATATATATATTAATGAACAAAACACGCCCAAATAAAAAATGAAGCTGAAGATGTTACATAAATTAAAAGGATCCCCATGATACAGGCTATAAAGTGGGATATAAGATATGCCCTGGGTTTACTAGGTGGCTGCAGAAGTAGGACCCACATTGAGAAGGGGATACACTATTTATCAGTCTTAACGTCCATTCACCAGTCTCACATGTTGAAGAAAAATAATAATAATTATCAAAATCATCAAAAAATATAAATTAGGAGAGCAAGATGTGGGTGCTCAAGTCCACAACATCCTACATCTTATATCACCCTTCACTTCCTACAGACAGTTGTGAGAAGGTCCTGAGACAAACAATATTATCCAGTAGAATTAGAAATTGAAAATACTTCCATTTTGGATCAAGAGACATATTATTTAGATATAGAAATCTTACTTAACCCTATTGGTAGAATCTTATTTTCGTTTTGTTTTTTTCTATTATTACTCTGGAAAGCAGTCACCTTCCCACAGCTGTCTGCAAGCAGTGAAGAGTGATATAGATGTGGAACATTGTAGGCTTAAGCATCCACATCTTGCTCTCTTAACTTTCGTTTTTTTCTCTTCAACATGTGAGACCGGCAAACAGAGGTTAAGACTGGTAGACAGTGTATCCCCACCACAATGTGTGTTCTACGTCCACAGTCACCTCCAAAACCCAGGGCATATTTTATATCCTACATTGTAGCCTTTACCCTGGAGATCCTTTAAATTTATGCAGTGTCTTCAGTTTCATTTTTTGTTTGGGCCTGTTTTATTCATTAAAATGTTATTCATCACAGGTTTGAATTTGCTGTTTTTATTTAGTCCTTCCATTTTTTGTACATTTTTGCTGAACTGTTTAAGTACTAATTTTGTATATATATATACACACATAAATTCAATTCCACAATTCACTTTTTTTAGATTGAAGCTCTAGAGTTGACCTTTTAATAAGCAATCTTTAAACCCTTCTGATTTTATTATTAACATATTAAATAACATCAATGTGTTAACTCAAGCAAGTGTATTACTTGCACATAAGATTAGAACAGTTAATTCCATTTACTGTGGTTTTTCACTAACTACTATACACAATATTGTGTTCTTTTGTTATTAGAATTTTTCCTCCTGCACTAAACTGGGGAAATATATAATGTACTCAGATGCTTAGTCAAATGTCACAAAATTATCAGATTTAAGTAATCGTAATTTACATCATATAATATAACTGGCAGTAACAGCTGAGAAATAAAAAAGTATTCTTACTTGGCCATCACTTCTAATTCTATGGCCTTTTCTTCTTCCCACTTAATGGCTGTTTCCAAAACCTTTACTTGGTCTATTAATGTTTCTGTCTCTTTGCTCCTAAAAAAAATAATAAAAATTATTCTTTTGTATGTAAAATCAATATCATTGTGAAATCAGCATGTTTTTCTCAACTTTTATAAAACTTTTATTTTTAAAAATTTATCTTGATGTATTACAATACAAAAATGTAGTTTTATTATTACAAAATAAGTGACAATCTTAACTATCCTTACTACCCCAGTTTATGCATAAATGGTTTAAGACTTTGTGCCAAACACTTAAGTAGATACTTTAAAACAACTACAGCATTTTTCTACATGGCTACAACTCATTGTCTTTCATGAATAAAAATTATACATTTTGACTTGTGTTTTTCTAAAAATCTCTTCCATTTCCTCCAAGTTTTCTTGTGTCTCCTGACTATGCTGAATCAGAGATAAGTTTTGTTCCTCTATGTCATGAAGAACCTTCAACACTTGGTCAGGTTGAGTGAAATAAAGTTGTGGCTCAACCTAGAAGGACATAAAATCTAAAGGAATATTTTACATTATTTGGTATAAATAAAACTTCATCAGTTCATCTTAACTCAAATATGACAAAAATTAATATGACTTCTAATCTTGCATACTGGACTATGACAGAATTTTTTTTTAAAGTACTGTTGCATGTAATTTTCTTATTTATCTTACATTTTAATGAATCTTTAAAAATGTCTTAAAATAGGTACAAGAAATAACAACCCAAACTAAATATTCATAATATAAGTTATATAATTAATCAACTTTATGTAGCTGTAATAATAATAATGCTCTATAAAAAAGAATAAAAATATCTAACAAAATGAAAAATCAGTTCTGTGGAAAAAATATGGCATATTGGAAAATTTAAGGCAATTGTTTATTTGCCTTTAAGTTTTCCAAATGTTTGTTTGAACAAACTATAATTCATAGAAAAAACACAAGTTTCACCTCATCCATATTCTCTTCTTCTCCAGCGCTGTAGCCACTATCTGATGATATACTAAAAAAAACAAAAAATAATAATCTATTAACACCAAAATATGAGACATTTAACATACTTCCACATACCTCTCTCTCTCTCTCTCTCTCAAGGATAAAATTATCCAATGCAAAATTGTATAATACATATTTCTTTGTTTGGTACATTTTTTACTTTATCCAAGATGAAAAACATCATACAAACTATACATTTAAGTACAGTAGTATTGGTATCACAGTCGTTTCTTTTACTCATTAGATGTATAAGTTGTATTGTAGTTTTAACTTTGACATATTTGAAATTAATTTAATTGAAATATATCTAAATTATGGTACAGCACTGTACTGCTGAAAATAAGGAAACAATATATAATTCTATACAAAAATGTAATAAACAAAAACTTCTCACCTATTGAAAGTGTGTGCATTGTATTTATGTGAGGATGCAGAAGAAGCTGAAAGCTCTGAAACAAATAAGAATAAATTTTGGGTAAGAATGGCACTTGTTTACTTCATTATAATAAAATAAATTATTGTATTACCAAAATTAGAACAATATATTATCTAAGAGATCTGTAGCTCAAGAAAATCAAGATTTTATATTAAAAACTTGAGAAAGAAAATACTTGCTTCTGCTCCTATCAAAATTTTGAAATGCATTTGTATTTATGGAAAAGTTATTATGGCTAACTATTACTGTCACTAATTTTGAACTACTGATGAGAGGAAAGGCTACCAGTCAGCAACACCATATTAACCACACTAATAGATTAACTGGCACTCTTATAATCTACACACACAGCATAACTTTATGGAGGGGAGGGATATTTTGTGGTATCACACGGATTTGAAACCAAATTACAGGCTCTGAAATACCGAGCTCTATCACAAGGCCAATCCACATCTCAAAACCTTGAGACAGGTAGCTGTGAAAACAATTTTACACCAAAACTAATTCTTTTTCTCTTTTTTGTTACCTCATTTTTACTACTTTATGTATTCTAATTTTTAGACCAACTTAATGTTTATTTCATGCTTTGCTTTATTATCCTGACTGAGTGAATATCAATCTTAGGAAGTTTTCAAATGATTGAAATTCAACTATTATACTCAGAAGTAAGAGAACAACTTCAAAAATAACAATGTTTTTCAAAACATTTGTATATTCTGTATATGATTAATTCTGATTATAAAATTACATAAGATAATGTTGTTAAGAAAATACATTTACTATGTTAAATGTATTTTCATAACAACATTATCACATCATTAAAATACTTCTCAACATTTTGACAAGCATACAACCTGTCATAACTTCAAAAGGTGTTCACCTGACATTATCCAGTTATAAGATGCAAACACAGACATAGACAGTGTTTCTTACATTGTATACAAAAGTATTCTAGGTATGCTTTCATTAACTCATATTTCTACAAAGGACATAGAAGGTGGAATATATTTTTAATACTTATATGTAACAGCATTTTGTTTAATTTTGGTGTCGACCAAACAAAAACTACAAATTTTCAAAAAATAATCAAGATATAAAAATAAATATATATATATATAGTGAAGCAATTGGATATTTTTGAAAAAATTTTACAATTGCTTCAGTATTTTTAATGTTCAAGAGTTAAGAAAGAAGCTATAAACATTTAACTATCCTCAGTGTGATACACATACATGTAGAAATGAGTAAGAATGCCTGTATTACAAAATTAGGTAAAGAACTAGGCGAAGCCCAGTTAACGGGTTAGTTAGTATTAAGAATCACGAGTTAAGAGTTATAAAAATGAAGCTACAGAAAGGATGCTGGGAAAAACACTAGTTATGAGTTTGACAGTGATAAGTTACTGATGCCGAGTTAGTAGCACTGTAGAAGCTACTAAAACGTTTATGATAGCATCTCAAATCGGTGCTTTGATGTGAGATCTATTACTCCACACCAGTGTAGTAGTACAAGTGAAAAGGCAACCAGAATACTCACCATCACAGTAACCAATTACTTGAGAGTTTTGATTCTTGTTTTGAATTAGCCTGGGAAGTTGCACAAATTGACCAATAAAGTATTAGAACTACTTGTGGGTAGTTGGGAATACTATTTGGAAGGGCAAAGGAATACAAATAAAATATGGTTTAAAAACTCATGTCTAGAGTAAAAAATCAGTGATCTCTAAGAAGAAAGTGATCCCCAGGAAGAGAATTATCTCCAGAAAGAATCGAAGTTCCAAGCCATTATGAATATGAAATTATCTCCAGAAAGAATCGAAGTTCCAAGCCATTATGAATATGAAGGTTTCCAATCTCTAGAAGTATACCAGTCCAACTCTGTTGTAAGTATAGAATTGCTATCTCTCTTGTTCGATTAATGTAGTTTACTAAAGGAAGTTAAAGCTTATACTTGAGAGAAATATTCTATATGTATTGAATAATAGTGTTAACTGAAAGGTGAAAAGTAAAGTCGTGAGAAACTAACAGTTTAGTAGATATTTAACTATTGATGCTCACAGTATATACTATGTGGGAATACCTAATGAATGTTGTTATATTTTGTTCAATGTTAGTCTTGGAATCCATTTCTTTATTGTAACTGTAAATTACCACGAATTAGTGACTTGTGAGCTCCACTCACCACTGCAATCCTCAACTAAATAAATTTGATGTAATCGGCAGTATAATCGAAACTCCAATGATTAGCCCTAAGGGTGCTGCCTGTTACAACTGGTGCAGTCTCGAGGACTTTTGGAGTAGCTAACGATAGGTTAGTTAGAGTACAGAAAGGAGTAAAAAGTAAGAAAGTCAGCCAAAGTACTATAAGTAGCGTAAGTTAAAAATAAGTAGTAAGTAAGTGAATATGGTATTAAAAGATCACTAAAATGATCAAGCATATTGTACACAAAAGAAAATGCTATTTCTACTATAGAAGAACAATTTGTTTCCACACAGCACTAGATTAATCTCAGTCATCAACAATTTGCCACAATTGTCAAAATTTGGAATAAACACTTTATTTCCAAAACTGAATTCATTCATTTTGGAATAATGACCATGATCATGTTTGAATGTTGGTTATTTTGAAAATAAAACATATGACACACTAGAATGAAGTACACCTAAGAGAGATCTCAATTTTTGGGCCCCTCGGCATCTTATCTGGTAACCTGTAGAATGTTATGCAATTACTTCAAAATGTTACATGTCTTTTGTTTAGGTGAGTGCATGAGATCATATCTACCACCATCCAAATTTTGCAATCAATAATAATAAGAAACATACAGAAATATTTTGTTCCTAGCTTTTACAGATGATATATGTACATATTTAAATCCTCACTGCCATGGTACTTTATCATTACAGACATTATTTTTTTATAAGGATTTGCATCCACAATCAATTAAAAAATACATAACAGGAAAAATAAGCTTTTCCTTCTCTATGATAGCTGACATTCTGAAAGCAGGCGTTAGATAGAATACAAGTATCACTGTACCTGTATTATAACATTCATATGAACATGTGGCAATATGCTTATCTTGCTGATTTTGATTTGGAATCTTAGTAAGCTTGTTCACAACAAAATCAATGTTGGCATTAAACATTTATTAAAGGTATGTAATCTCTGTGTATACCCTCTTGTCAACTGTCTAACTATTGCAATACTATTGTCATAGTAAGCTCTGCCAGAAGTACCCATTAATTAGTCTCAGTATTGATAACAGAAAAAAAAAATTTGTTTCTTAAAACTTTCTAAGTTTAGCACATAATGAAACACACAATGTTCTGATAAATTTCAAAGTTATGTGGTATATGAATCAACAGTTTAACCTAAATATCACACAATGAAACTGGGATTTAAATGCTTTGAGCTTGGATAATATGTTCACATTGTTGATATATCAATTTTTCAGGTATCCTAGAAAGAATTAAACTGACAACCAACTTACATGTTGTACTGCCATACACAAAATCATCAAAGAAAATTACATATTCCTATATATGTCACAAAATAAAGTAAAAAAAAAGACATCAAACTTCATTAAAAATATCTTCTATTACACTTACAGAAAAAAAGTAGTTCCATTTGGCTGAAACATGTGGAACAATAAATATTTCTTACATTTAATGGAAAGACGGTACTTAGAATATATAAAACTATAAAGATTGGTGAAAAAAACACACCAAAGTTCATTATCTATAGTAGTCTTCACTGGGTGATATTCTTTGCCATTAACGTGGTTGAATTAATGAAGGTTTAAATATCTTAACAGTCCAGTACTTAAGTGGTAATGAAATTATTGTATCACCTAAATTGAATTTAATATATGCTTCATACTAAAAGAGTAATTAATTTTTAAATATGTTATTTGAATCAATTCTCATGGGCAAAAAACAGAAATTACCAATCAATGTATCAATACATTTGTAATAACATAATTTAAAAAAATAAGATCACATTTAACAAATTTAAGAATCTGTAAGAAAGTGCATCTATGTTTAAGTTCTGTAATGTATGATACAAATGAATTGATTCTAATTTTTGAGACTGAAACTAAAGAATTAATAAAGATATAGGCAAAAACTATAATAATTCCATAGCTTATAATATCCAGCTAAAATTAAAGACTTTCTCCAGATTTATTTTTATTATAGTGTTCTTATAAAGAAAATAAATATGAAACATGGATGACAGAAACAGTAAAATGCTTGAAATAAAATTTTAATAAATATGTACAAGAGCAATGTATAAGATAAAATATAGTAATATAGAATCTTATGACTTATTGTAATTAACATAATTTTAATGGAGTTTTCAAAAATCAGATATAAATCACCAAGTTATTTTTCAATAAATAGATTAAGGTTTTACCTAGCACATTCAAAAGATATTTTAATCAAATATTGCTTGTGAAATTCTATGCATACAACTACATAAAGGTATTTTCTTTTCTTTTACAATTATTTCAATTTAGTATATAAAGCATGAAAGACACATTCATATCATGCAGTTTTATGCTAATATATGTTCTCATATTTACCTGTTTTTCCATTCTTGCAATTATTTTTATTTTCTTGCCATTCCTGTAAAACAATTATTGCTAGTAACTTTATATATTCCATACATTCACTAGTGCAGAAAGAAGGCATATAAGCCTTTTTAAACAAAATAATATAGAAAAAGTTGACGTAAAGAAAAAATAATAATTATAAAATTACGTATGTTATACAGAAGAATTCTGATTAAAATATAATATTGTATGAGCAAAAATCTAGAAAAATATTAGCAACTCTTGTAGCATACTTAACTTAATTTTCACAGTCAACAGTTTAAAGTTATGACAGATTAACAATATATTGTTCTGTGTTACGCACCTTCGGAGATAAAGTGTCCAAAAACTTTTCATATAGTTTGTATTCTCCCAGCAACTCTTCCAATTTAAAAATCTCACTTTGACAAAAATATGTGAAAATAAAAGAATTTATTTAACATACAACAAAAAATTAATTGTTCATTCATATAAGAGATCTTATAGATCAAGTAAAGCAAGTATATATAAATATATATATATATCAAAGTATAAAATATAATAGCAAGATTATTTCAACAGGGATGACAATGAGCACAGGAAAAACGTTTGAAATATTTTGAATCTAATGCTGGGCACTGAAGGTGTTTAGTATGCTGGAGGTGAGGCTTGACCTCCCATAAAACCAAAACTCTCTGGTGTATTCTGTCTTTTGTTCGTATGATTGATTGATATGATACCTTTAAACTTTACAATAAAATATCCAAATCTGGTTAGCTATTTGACAGTTCTATTTACTTTTTAGCAGTTCCATGAGTGAACATTGTAGAGCAACCATGTGAAACATAGTTTATAACTTTACTACATATTGTGCAAATAGCTTCTCCTGTTACTTTTTTAATGAATTCTTTCAGTTTTGACTTCATCACTCGTGATTTATTCTTAACAACAAATGTAATTTCTAGTTCTTTCTCCAGCTAAGCCCACCTGAATTATGGTAGTTTATAACTGAACTATCAACTTCTCTAGCCATTTGTTGATTATGCCACTCAATAAACTCTGCCATTTTATAAATTTATTCTATCTTTAAATTAAGGAATTTTTAGATGAAAAATCCATCCATACTGTAAATATATCATTTTGTAAAATTGGGTAAAGATATTAACTAGATTCTTATTGGTCAAAAATTGCAGTAGTTATATGCAAAATACTGAAATGTAGGAAATATATCATTGTTATGCAGGGCTGAAATATGGAGAGAGTTATTTATGAAAAACTTTGAAATTACAATTCTTATAATTTACTATTGGAAAATATTATCATCAAATTACAGTAGAATGTTTTCTCAACTTAAGAAAATGAATGAATGAAGTTTGAATTTTATATTAAAACAGATTTACAAAAAGTCTCTTTGAAGATGTGGATACTTATATTATGGAAACAGATAAGACGGTGTAATTCTAAATTTCCATTATCACTTTATGTGGAAAAATTAATAGCTTTATATCTCCAATAATGCTAACATAGTTCTAAAACTTTCATAAATTTTATATATGCATTTAATGGAAAAAATATATTATAGGTAGTGAAGCTACAAAGATTACCAAAGACTGGAAATTAAGTCATAAAATCAGTATAAGAAACTATAAATATTCTACAAAAATCTGAAAATTTATCATTACATATACATTTGTGTGTGTTTGCCTGTGTGAACAATGATAATCATCCATGTGTTTTTTCTTCTCTCTATCTTTCTTTATATATATACATACAAGCTAAAAAACTAAATAAATCTATGTCTAACAGTTAGTATTATGCAAAGATAATTTCTTTTTAAAAGCTAATACAAAGTAAAATATATTCAGTGATAATAAATTACTGAACATTTTTGTGATAGTATATTTACAATAGAAATATTTTGTTTTAAAACTTCAAATTGCTGTTTTAACATTCATTCAGTATAAGTTTATTCTTCAGGACCTGTTGTAAGTGAAATATTAATATTTTAAATTATGTTACATATTAATATCTCTTAATTTATGAAATAAAAGGGTTGAAAGATAGCCACTAAAAGTCTAAAGTTAACAATACCAACCTTTGAATACCCACAACTTGAGCTTGTAACTGTTTAATTTCAGCCATTTTTTCCAGTTTGGCTTTAGTTTGTTTTTCAGCTCTAAAAGAAAGAGACATTTCTTATTTACAGATAGCAAATTTAGCAGACTTGAAGATATCAGGATAAAAGCACCTGGCTCAGTTCATTTTGTACGTGATACGGTTCATTTTTACTCTATCATTAAAAGTTAAGTGCTGTTGTGTGCTGTAACAGGTAATTACACCTATATATAAGTTCACTGAAACTTATAGACATTTAAACTAGGTTCATTATAGTCCATAGGGTTACATGCAACTAGACTACAACAGAACTGTGTTATTAAGAATAACATTATTGGTTCACTATCTTAGGTTCAGTGGTTCAGAAGAATATTTTGTTTCCACCTCCACTGCTCAACATTACTATAATTTTATATAATTAAAATAATACACTAAATTATAAATTAAGATAAATAAAGTCATTTTTCTGATTGTTTTGTGTAATATTGTGGTATGAGGTATAGAGAACTCTAGTTGTTGACTCATAAGAGGCCTTAAAAATTGTTGTGCTGGCCTCTTCACTGGTAGGCCTTTCACAATTTGCAGCTGTATCTCAGGTGGGCCCCCTTGGTCCGAAAAATGATAATTTTTTGCATATTTACAAGTGGGCCTGTAAAATTGTGGACTTAGTATAATCAAACAAGCCTCTGAGCACAAAAAGGTGAAACTCGTTGAGTTGAGGCAGGCAGTTCCCTGGGGCTCTAGGCCCTGAAGCTGCTGCCCTAGCCATCCCACTTATATATATGTCACTGGTCAGGTTAACATAATTGTTTTGCTTAGAATTATATAAAACTATATCTATGTCTCATAAAAGATTACATAAAGCTAGGAACACATTATTATACTGCTAGGTTTACTGTTTCACAAAGAATTGTGCTGTTTAACATAACAAACAGCTATACTTATTGGGTTCCAACCATTATACACAGCTTAGTTCATTGCATTAATAACAGTTACAAAAAGCTGGATTCACTACATTGCAGGTTATATACATAAAGTGTATAAGGGTTCTATACAAGAAGGTTAACATAACTTTTACTAAGAATTACACATAACTAAGATTAGAACGTGGATTAGTCTAATGGTTAGGGTGCCTGTCTCTTAATCTGAGGATCATGTATTCAAATCCCCATTGCCGAACATGCTATCCTATATGGTTGCCATCTGGGCCAGCCACCCAGGAGTAAAAATTATTGTCTTACAAAAATATGGGCCAACCCCAAACTAGTTGGGATTAACATTGTTAAAGGGAATAAAGAGACATATAGCTGAGATTACAGTTAGTGAGCTAGATTTTTCATAGTTACAAATGTTTACTGAATTATGATGATAGTTAACTTAAGAACTTCAACACTACAAGCTAGTTTATAAATTTAAGCATGTGAAAATATTATATTGTTACGACAGCAGATGTCACGTGACGCTTGTAACATGTCATATTCTCGAAGCTTCGTGAATCCTCAGGAGGTTACTAGATTTCGGTATTCTTTTATATATAAGACATTCAAGATGTGACGGCAACAAGGTAATGTGTAATTGAAATGGGGACAGAGAGACATATTGTTCAGTCGAGCACGTGAGATGTTCGTTGTGAATTATAGCGTTTGTTATAGCACGACTGTGGAAATTAAGTGTATTGCAAAGTTGGATTCAGAAAGAATAAACCAGTTTTATTTAAGAAAGGATTTGTATCGGTAAAGTTTCTTCGGAAAGAATTTCTACGGAAAATTAACTAACGACGAGAGACGTAACAATATACAAATAGTTAGCCCTGCTTTCTAAAAGATTATTATAAAATCTTAGTTTGGTTTACCACATCACAAAGGGCAGAAATAGCTAGTTAAGTTCATAATACAACTTCTAAACCCCATTAACTAACCTTTAAAATATTCAAGTAAAAGAGACATATACAGTTTTCAATTTGTTATAGCTAGTAGCCTATACAACCACCAAAGTTAATTATTAATTAGTAACTTTTCTATTTCATTATTATTGTATTAGTTTTCATGCTATTTTTCAGCTAGTTCTGTGGTGGTAATGGCAGGGATCTGAAATTGAGTCTTCTTAATAGAGAGACTAGTTTGCTATCTAAATGCTTGGGGTCTCCCCATTAGGATTTGATTGAAGTAACTAATTAATAATTAGAATTAGGTGATTGTATAGGCTACTAACCATAATGATGACTGATATACAATCACCACAACTTTATAAAACAGTATAAGTACTTAAAACAGAAATATTATTGTTAGATATATATGTATTGTTTTATGGTGTTATTTTTCAAGACATATTCTTGCTTAATTAATGGTAACAATCTAATAGGCCTGAAAAACAAATTTTGAGTGTCAAGCTTGTCACTTCTTTTACTATTTTTTCAAAGTCTTATAAAATACAATCCTAACAAATTAACATGCTTTCTAAATTATCATTGTACTAATTCAGAATTATTCTTTTCTGACACTTGGAAACCACTTAGTTTTTTAATCAGTCAGAAACTAGCCACTGGCAGAATAAAGTACACTTTTAATGTGTAAAAATATACATAAGCTGTGTAATGTGTTTGTAGAGCTTGCAAGTTGGAGGATATCCTAATTAAACTAATGGCAATAGATAAAGAGAAGTGTAACCTGTGGGAAATGGCAGCAGGATTCCAAGAGGAACTTAAGCTTTAACATGCAAGGGATACATCAGCTAACAATGACTTTCAGGAAGTTAGAAACAGTACTATTAGGGCTAAAATTAGTTGATCTAATTTTAATGAACGTGTTCTATTGAGCAAAAGATTTCAACCATTGGCTTGTGCAGATAAGGAACTACTGGAGGGAATGAAAACAAAAGGGACAGAGAAGGATGTGGATTATAAATGTAAAGAGGTTAGAGTTATAGGTGCTTCTTTGACAATGCAGGTAGATAGGATTGGCTGTGGGGTAAGTAGGGAGATAAGCTACCCAGGGGCATAAGTGGTAGATATAATTGACAGAGCAAATAATATAAGGATGTAAGGTTTGTTGTCCACATAAGTGCTAATGATGTAGTGAAAAGTAGGTCAGAGGAGCTAACTGATAGGTACAAGGAGTTGTTAAAGGAATTTAAAGAAAAGGGCCATAACTTAATTGTGTCAGTGATACTGCCAAGAATTAATTGTGGAGATGAAGTTATAAGTAGGTCACTAGGGCTGAATCCTAGCATTAGGATAATAATATGTAAGGATGAGCAACTTGGCTGGTTAAACTTGTGGGATCAGTTTAGTGGGAGAATGGAGTATTTTGGAATGGATGGTTTACATTTAAATAGGGTAGGGGCTGGCTTGTTTGCAAGGGCTATTCACTCAGCTGTAAGGGAAGTTTTAAACTAAGACTAGACAATGGTGAGGGCCAGGAAAAAATGAATGCAAAATAATAAGATGTAGAGAAAAGTCTAACATTGGAAATGAGTATAGACGTAGTTATAAGGATAGGCTTAATTGTTACTATTGTAATGCTAGAATGCTGTTTTCAGATGTTATGGAGGCAATAAATTTATGTCAGTTTAGGAAAAAGCTTTAAATATATATATGAGTGATAAGGGCTGGCTTTGAGGATTTTTCTTATTTAATAGCTTTAGTTTAGTTTAAGGGAATGGGACAGCCTAGATGGACAAATAAGTCTCTTGTTGTCCCTAAACATTATGTTATGTTATACATATATATATTATTCTCACTCTTTCACTGATTCCATAGCCAGTTGATCACTTTCTTTTACAAATTTGTTAAAAGCTTCAGCATTTTTCTCCAAATTTTCTTCTTCAAGTTTAACCTGTGCTTCTTCCATTTCTGCTATCTCGTAAAGCTTACTGATTTCCTTTCTTTTAACCCCAAGAGAATACTGTAATATAAAGCATAAAATAAACAAACACATAAAAACAGAAAAGATAAAATGTATGAACACATCTCATATTATTCTGTCATGGTATTAATGTAGTAAAGCAAAACTAGCAGTATGATTGCAGTAAAAATTTTGTGAAAAAAAGGGTGTAAACGTGTATATAATAAAATACTGAAGCATAACTACTTTGTAAATCTGAAGTAAATGTACACTGCTGTTACAGTAATAATTGTTTATCAGTCTTTGGAGTAGTATTATCTGAAAAGTTGTTTCAAAATCTCATGCAGTATAGAGTTTCAGGTGTGGTTCTATGCTTCAATTAAGTGTCATCTATTTGTTATTTGTAACATAATTATAAGAAAAGTGATATGTAATGTTACTGCACTTACAATCTAAACCATTATTTGACAAAAGGCAGTGTTTGTGTGTGTCTGCTTATAAATGACAAACCAAACCTAGCCTGCACTTTAGGGCCACATTGGGGGAGGGGGGGGGGGGGGGTCATGGGGGTCCCTATGTCTTCCTCCATGTTGAATGGGTATGTCAGCTAGCATGAAAATAGAGCACATGTAAGTTATGAACATTATTGTTAAAATATAACTTATATTTGAATTACTGAAAGTAAATATACTATTAATAAGTTAAAAGTTGTAATAAAACCAAAAATGCTGCAGTTTATGTGATTTACACAACAAATTTGAGGTTTATTGGTTTCTAATGCTTTGCCAGCTTTCAGCATTTAAAGCATAACTTTTAAGTATTATACTGCATAAATAAATAATATTTTAAAGGATCTTGCATTGTCCAGCACAACTGATGAATTTTGGTATTGAATGAAAGGCCTCTTGGGCAATGATCTAAAACAAATCTGAAATGCTATTTTTATACACTTCTGATTTTGAACCTAAAATGGATAAACTAGGAATAATTATATACTTTACATGATTTTTATCACAAATTTTAGACTTATTGGTTTCTAATGCTGCTGTCTTGTGCTGTAACTTTTAAAGTGTACTGTTGCATTAGTTGTGTTTTGTAACAAAACTCCAATATTTGCTTTTTGGGCTGTTACTGCTAAACCCTGAGATAAATATAAATGAGTCCCTATTATTCTAAAAGATAAGTCTGTTATTGAATTTTATGAATTATTTATCACTATTTCATTAATGTGCAGTTAATTTTTTAGGCTTTAATTTGTACCTGCAGCATGTAATGCTTTCTACTTATGAAATCAAAATTTCCTTCAACATAACTAATTTTACCAAAACATTATCAATTGAATCCCTAAGGATTAAAATTCCAGCCTAGTCATGTTACAGTTAACAATAAATTTTCAATGAAATCAGTTTCACTGAATAAAACAAATCGAAAGTACCTCAATAAGAAACATCTCTCTCTTTTTTGCTAAATATTCTGCTATACTTTCTTTCTCAAACCTTCTTTCTATAACACAGTAATAAAACAAACATATTTTACATTTGAAATTTTGTGTATCACATATTCATATGCATATTTAATAAAAAACTTAAATTCAACTGAAAAACTATCATATTACCTTTTAAAAACACCTAAAACATAATAAGTATCGATATCCTGTTTAAAACACATAAAAAATCTTCTAAAACATTATTTTAAGAAAATCTTGGATTTTCTAGTACAATCTAGAGAATTTCCCTGTCAACTGCAGATGCTGTAATCAAGTGACATAATAGGCAAAAACATTATCAAAGCTATTTGCTACTTTTCATACACATACACATAGGAAATTATCAGGAAGTTAAACCCTTAAAAAAAAACCTTTAAGATATTATTCTGTATTCACATAATATGAAAATAATGCATGAATTAAAACAAACTTGCAAAATTAAAATAAAACATTAAACACAGACTTGGAACTATCTCTTCTTTTAAGGACTCTGTATGTGCAACATTTTGTTGACAGCTATATTTCATTTAAATCACTTAAAAATATATTTTAGATAGACAAGTTATTAATCCTACACATGATTAAAATAGAGCAAATGGGTTCCTCCTGAACAATGGGGTATAACCATAAAACTTACCTTGCTTCAACCAATGACTAACATTATATATATGTATACACAGAGAGAGAGAGAGAATACAAATTTAAATTATCAGAATAATTCACAATTCATAGCTCATTAACAGGTTCTCCAAAATATCAACAATTTAAAATCCACATAAAATGTTTCTTGCATAACTTTTACACTTCAATTATTCTGGGATATTTACTTTTACTTTATTAATAACAGTTTATTGCATGTGTATTGTGTCTATGCTACTCTATAGTTCTACTAGCAAACCCATGAGCCTATGTCCCACATTTACAGTCCGCTATAATGCAAATTTAATGTTTGAACTACTATTTTAATTTCTTTAAATAGGTTACAAGTGATAATTAATAGACCTACTTATATACTTGCTCTACTGTAAATCAATGTCCAATTTGTGGTCCACTTTCAGGGAATCCAAGTAAAAGTGTTTTTGCAAAATATCCAGATTCTCTAAGGTGAAATGCTTAATCTTTAAGCAAACCTTGGGACCAGAGCCATTCATTTGGTACCACTTAAAAGTCAGTGCAACTCGTGGATTAGGAGGAGTTACATGACACATAAACACACACAGACTCTGAATCTTACTATATAAATACATATATTTAAAATAACTCAAGTAACCTTCCATTTTTTTAAGATTAAATAAGGTAGTTTAACTGTTGTAAAAAAAAACATAAAAAGGATTTTATGTTACATATGAAAAAAATAACCTTTTGTAACACTCAAAACAAAATCAGGATCCAACTGCCCTGGAGTTACTAAATTAGAACTGGTGACTCTTCCTTCCTCCAAACCTAACTCTCGCACCTTTCGTAATGTTGTATGATAAGACTTCAAATCAGCAGCCTTAGTTGACTTTTCATAAATGGGAAGACTGTATGAATCTCTTTTCTCCTAGCAAAAAAAGACTGAAAACTTTAAATGTAGTGTTAAAATATTACAGAAAAGAAATAATGTGGTTTTAAGATAGCTTTCCAACATAAAAATACTAAATTTTGTGGCAGTTGAAATCATAAAATGGTAACATTAACATTGTAACTGTGTCTAAAAGAATGTAGATATATGCCAACAAGATCCATATTACAACACAATCAGCAGATTCTATTTCACAAATTTCAAGCAAAAGTAAAATAAGGCTTTTTATAGCATAATCAGCAAGATGACAAAATAGAAAACCCTGTTATTTTACGGATGATCAGCTAGAATAGCCTAAGAATACAATTTTGTTTAACATGTACAATAAACCAAAGCTTGCAAGTTGTTATAAAACCAGATGTCTTCAAAGATGAAATTTTTGGATGGTGAAATGGCTTTGCACAGAAGAGAAGATGTCTTAAATATTTAAAAGCAATCTTGAATCAATAGCATTTGATTGTTTACTCATAGTTATTTTATATTCAATTCAACTACAATAACCACCAACACAATAATAATTCCTTACTACTTGAATCAACATCTTTACTAGGATTGTAAAAATAAAACCATTATAATATAAGCTATTATAGATACATCTCAGCTTCTTCAATATTCTTTTGAAAAAAAAAATGTTTTTAAACTCTTACACATATCTAAACACTGAGAATGTTCTAACCATAACTGCTGAAGAGTTCAAGCAATAATTTTACTTGACATAGGTTGTTACTTAGGCAGAATATATTCTTTTTTAGATCTTTTTTCTTTTCAAGGACAGTTTTAAATTATATATTTGATACAAATATTTTGACAAATACTAATTTCTAAAACTCCTGTTCATAAATAATAATTAAAAATAAGTCAGAAAATGTCTTGAATGTATATACATTCACAAATTCTTTGGAAACAATTATGTATGAATGCACCAAGTATTTGTAACACAACATTAGTGAATACAAAGTAAGTCTTATCAAATCCTTCAGTGCAACCATCTTAACCTAAAACTAACCTTATGTTTCTCAGATTTCTCTCTTGCTTGCAGGGTATAAAGTTCTGAGTCTGGGGGCATCTGAAATGGATTCTCATGGTGGTTTTTTGGAACTGTTAACTTGTCAACCATCATTCCACTTAAAAAAAAAAACTGATCCATAAAGTAAAAGTGAAATATGTATTGTATTGAAAAATAGATGAAACAAAATTACAGTATAATAAAATACTTTATATGAGTGTAGAAAATATAAAAAAATTATATTTATGTATCCTAATGAAGAATACTTCAACTTCAATAGTGGTTAGGCAATTGAATGTCATTTGCCAGCCAATTCCAAAATAATATTTTGGGTTTTAACAAATTTGGTGTTTAATTTGTAAATGAGGAAGTTAAAATTGAAATAAATAGCTGATTTTAAGAAACATAAACAAGCTCAAGTCACATACTTAATTTATGCTAGCTTAACAATAAGCATAATTAATGTTAGCTTCAGTAAGGACTAACAATACTTGCCAACATGGATAGTAGCTCCAAAAATTTAAACAAGATGGTATTCTAGTTTTTACTATTTTATAAGGTGCCATACAAAATATTAACTAAGAAATTCACATTGCTATGGGTTATGGAAAGACTAGTTATTTGAGAAAGCAAAAAGTTGTTATTAATGAAATCCAATCAAACTGGACACTTCATACTTCAGTACCTCAGCAGTCAGGCTAGGTTCTTTGCTCTTTCTTATTAACATTAATGACATTGATAGAGACATAATTAATAAATTAGTAACATTTTCTGATGACATTAAATTCTTGGGTATTTCTAGCTTTGTTGGAGATGTTGAAGCATTATCATATTATATAAAATTACTTGGATTAATTTGTAACATGGATAAATATTTATCAAGTGACCTTTAATTAGTGTAAGTACAAGGTAAGAGATTTGTGTTATCTTAATTTGGATACCACATTTAATATAGATGTGAACCCACTCAATACTTGAAGGAAAAGATCTTCCCATATTGTTTGATTTATTACTGAAGCCATTGAAGCAGTGCTTTTTTTTTTTTGCTAGTAATAAAACTAAGAGAATTTTAAGGTGTATTTATAGATATATTGATTACAAGACAAAAGGGGTAATTATACCTCTATACAAATCATTAATTAGGCCTCACTTGGAATACTGTTACCAGTTTTGGCCTTCTTACCAAAAAAAATATTAACTATTCAATAGGGTTCAGGCAAGGGGTAGTTGGAATGGAGAGATTATCTTACAGGAGTAGGATAACTTATTTTCTCTTGGAGAAAAAAAGGAAAGAAGTATTCTTAAAGAAGTTTACAAGTTTACTCAAAAGACTGATGGAATATAAAATTCCCCTGATTTCTTTGCAAAATATTCTTAAAATAACAGGGTGTAATAATATAAGTATAAAATTTGATAAACACAGGCTAGGCTGCAGTTAAGACAGTTTTATGAGTTGCTGTTGGAGGCCAGCATTTTATAAACGTTTTAGATGGGAATTTATGATTGTTGGAAAGTAAAGGGTAAGTTTAAATTTTTATTTTTCCCATGGCTTGGTGTATAAGAGTAATTAAAAAACAAATAGCCTTTTATTGTCCATGTTTTGTTATGTTATCTAATAGTAATAGGAGTTAACTTTAGTACATCAGCTAAGAGTAAATACTACATTAGAAATGCTAATGATAAAAAGCTTAATATAATTGTCCTGTTTTTAATTTAGTATTAACAGTTACGTTAATAGTACTACTAACTAAATTAGTTAGTGCCAAATATTAGTTATTATTAATGCTAATTCTACCTGGCCACCAAGAAACCCAAATGTATCAGTGATATAATTACGTAATATTTGGTGGCAGTTCAAATTTTTATACTAAACTTCTCAAAATATAAAATAATTAATGTTACTTCATACAGTAATTTATTATAAACAAATATGCTTACAAATTTTTACCTTAACACAAGGTTAACGCTAACTGTTTTGTATGAAGGATATGTTGTTTGTTGTCATGACAACAAATTTCGCCTGGTGGTAGTAAATTATATTATTTGTTAATCGGATCAATTTATTATTCTGAACAGAAAATTTTTGCCAGCAATACATAACATAATATAACACTATCAAAGGTTATCGTCAGTGCCCTCCTCCCAGTATTTCAGTGATAAGACTGAGGAGAAGTGAGGGCTATGTGTTAAAAATATAACTCATTATATAGCTCTTCCTTTATTAAACACAAATATATCGTCAATGTCAGGCTTAAGAAGTAATGACTTAGGTAGGGGTGTTGAATGCCTCTTTTCACTATTTTTAGCAGTAGCTAAATTCAGTTCTTAGGTACACTTACTAGACGCGGCACTAAAAGCTACTTTTGTTTATTTGTATGTTTTCTACCCATCTCTTTGTTCAGTTGAACTCTCACTTCGACAATAACAGGGTAAATGTGAAATGACTGTCAAACTCGAACTGTTCATCCGATTGTTTATACATTTAAACATAATCTTTAGGGCGGCCATTTGAGTCCTTTTACCAAATTTCATCGAAATTGATTCATCTAGTTTCTCAAAACAATACGAATCTATAAGATCTATCTGGGTTTGAGTCCTTTTAAATTCACCATTAGGGGAACTCTTAATTCGTGTACTTTGTTTATAGCTAAGCACAAAGCTATACAAATGGCTATATGTCTGTGCTCTGCCCACCACAGGTATCGAAACCCAGTTTCTAGAGTTGTAAGCATACCCCTGTGCCACTTGGGGCGACTTCGTGTACGAAATGTGTTTTTCTTTATTTGTGATATTTTGTATTTGAACGCATAAAGTTTATAAAATGTAATGTAATTAAAACGGTTAAGTGACCTGCCAGACTATTCACGTATTGGGTTAAGTACGCAGAGTTCTGAACGAATCTGGTGGCCATGCGAACGTCTCAATGACTGTGAGGTTAAGCCTATTCCTCAATACGTGATACCTACCAAACACTATCTCAACCTGCTTTATAGATATTAGTTAGTCAGCTCACGAATATTAATAATTTATGTTATCAATTATTAAGTAATCATTAAATAACAAATTTTCAAAATGTGACGTAATTTTTTTAAACAATACAAAAAGGGGGTGCTTGGCTACTGCCCCCCTAAATCCACCTCCGCTCTTACAAGATAAGTCTATCAGTTTGTCGTTTTTTGGTCAGACCATTTAGCTTCAAGTGTCTTTTGTACTAGATTAAGACATTTGATGGATAATACATCGGGTCAATAAGTATGCCTGTAGCAGTATGCTGCATTTCCTCTGGAGTTCTCTTTCAGTTGGTAGATAATAAATTTAGACTCTGCACGGGGAAACTATTCTTCTTTCAAATAATTTACACCATTATAAGTTTATCATATATTTACTATGTATGTACTTTTGTTCTATTATACTTTACATTTTACTCTGGTTTAAATAGTGTTACTGATGTTTTATACTCATGTATTTTATTTTTCAGTTATTCATCATGTCCAGCGGATCACCAGTTAAGCGTCTAAAGCAACAGTGTCTCTCCTATTTTTATTTTGGGCAAAGCAGTACTCCAAAATCTGATAAAGCATGCAGTGAAGGCAAATCAACAGAGACAACTACAACATAGTTTTCTGGAGCAATTAATTCTAATTTACAAATAAAAGATACTATTTCAACAACAGATATTGCAGCTGTACTTGATGAAAATGTATAAACAGAGATGAGTGACTCAGCGAAAGCGGATTTTATGGAATGTTGCCGGAAGCTTCTCCCAAATTACAAATTTGACAATAAAACGTTCAAAATAGAACAAAAATTTAAGACAATTGCTTTTCAATCGACATGGCTTCATGACTATAAGTGGCTTACTTACAGCAATCACCCTAGTTACAATGGTGGATGGTTTCTCCCTTGTGTTCTCTTTTTACAAAAAATGGAAAAGCAAAACTTAGATGTTTTCGTAAAGACGCCACTCGATAACTTCAATATGACCAAAGAGTTATTGAGCAGTCATGAATCAAAGACCTACTACCAAGAAAGCATTCAACGTGCACCCTACAATAAATCAAAAGTGCGTGGTGCTGGACTTCGAGTCGATTCGATTATTAATTCAGTTACTGCTAACAATGTAAAAATAATAAACAAATCCTTCCAGTCATAACGAAGCGTTTTATATTGTGCAAGACAGCAGGTAGGTTTGCGAGAGCATCGAGGTGACAAGATCGAATACGCAGTGGTTCATGATCACAATGGAGGCAATTTTATTGCACTAATTCGTCTTATGTCCAATCACAACCCAAGTTTTGAATAAGGGCCTCCTTTCTGGTCCAAAGAATGTCGCTTACACCAGTAAGACAATACAAAACGAAATAATACAAATAGCTGCAGATACAATTCGTGACCATTTTCGGATGTATATCCGTGCATGTCCTTACTACGCAATAATTCCAATGGGCGTTAATTTTTCTCAATTTGCCTGTGAATTCTGGATGTAACTGGACAGCAGCCAAAAAAGAAAAAAGAAGTGCTTCTCGACTTAGTTGACCTTGAGCGAATAACAAGAGACACGATTGTATCAACAATTCGCGATACTCTACAGAAACAACATGTTAAAATCGAAAACTGCAAAGGCCAGGCTTATGACACAACTGCCTCCACGAATTCCGACAAAAAATTAGTTCAAGCATAAATTAAGAAATTTGCACCAAATGCTGATTACCAAGGATGTGTACTTCACTCTCTAAACCTAGCAATATGCCATGGTTGTGACATACCTTCCATTTGGAATATGATGGACTCTTTTTGACAGTTATTTTCATTCTTTAAAAATTCACCCAAACGCCAAAAGTTCTATCAAAATGTCATTGTTGCTCTTGCTCCTAATATTAAGAAAAAAACCTCTGTAAAACGCGATGGATAGAGCAACACACTACTTTCGATACAACTGAAGAGCTTTATGTCTACATTATCAGAACACTCGATGAAATTTGCCAACCCTCTGGAAACCCAAATATTTACACCATAGGAGAGAGCTGGAGTTGGGATTCAGAAACACGAAGTAAGGTAAATGGGCTACATCACACATTTACTAATTTTGAGCATATGGTCAGTTCTACAATTGCAAAGGAAGGTATAGAACCAATGTGTCTAATTGTGTCGTGTCTTCAAGGAAAACTAATTGAAGTATTACCAAGTTTTACAATTGCAAAGGAAGGTTTAGAACCAACGTGTCTAATTGTGTCGTGTCTTCAAGGAAAATTAATTGAAGTTTATTTGGGTAGATCAGGTTATTACTTTTTATGCAACCCTTCGTGCATCTGTTGATTATTGGTTTCCACTGTTTACGCCAAAGCCAAAGAATTAGCATGATCTGTATATTCTGAAGGAAAATGTCCCAGAATTATATATGGACGTCAGATGCAACGCGACAATAAACCTGCAACAAATACCTCCGGCTACTACAAACACAACATGACAATTCCTTTTCTAGATATAGTCTTTGGATAATTGAAGTCACGCTTTGGAGAAAACATGCGAGCACACTTCAAGCTGTGCTCATTGATGCCAGATGTCCTCATAAAGAAGGACTATGATGAACTTTAAGCACTGACAAATCTATTACTCAAAAAATGGCAGTTTGTTCTTCCACATCCAACTGCTTTCAACAGTGAGTTACTTAGGTGGCAGCAGCTTGGTAAGGATGGTAAAAACAGCAATGAATCTGTAAGGCAACTCATTTGTCAATCTGCTGATGAAATATTCTTCCAAAACGTCAGTGAATTACTTTATATCTTAGCAATTTTGCCAGTTGGTAGTTGTAAGGCTGATCATTCATTCTCTTGTATTCATCGCATTCATACATGGCCTCACACTACCATGTCTTCTGATAGGCTACCTGATCTGTGCATGAAACCATGCATTGTAATACTGTTACTTTGTCAACAGATGAAATCATACAACATTTTATTTCGCCGCATCCTCGTCGAATGCAGGCACAAACCCTTTTTTAACTAGTTGAATAAATTCTTCCTTGTTTGGACCAACATACTGTCATAAACTATCATAGTTATGTTTTGATTTCTGTCTATGTACTTGCTTATACTTGTATACATTGAATAGATTCGTGTGTATTTATCCAATGCTTAATTGCAACATTTGAATATGTTTTATTTCTTCATGTATTTTAAATAAATAATTCATTTTCTATGCTACTTTAATAATAAATTCAAATAGAATATATAAGCTTTATATAGGTCATATTCACAAAATTGAACAATGCATTTTTTATATATGTTTGTAAATTTTTCATAATCGCCCTCCTAGCAAAATATTAGATCTGCTATTGAAGAAACACCAGATCTAGCGATGCATTAAAAACCTGAGTAACTGGAGCAAGTTTTAAAATTCAAGAGGTTGATGGTGCCATACTATAAATGTCTAAAGACAAACGAATAAATTCCCCAAGCATCCTTAACACATAAACACAGCTGTTTGAGATGAAGCTCTTAAGAGAGACATATGCATTTACCAAATATTTTTCCACTTGCAATGTACCCATCCCTCCTTTATGATGACATCATCCATATTTCTCTACTCTTAATTGCACTTTTAGATAGTTAAATGAAGTTTTAAAAGTTTCCCACTCATGCATAATGTCAGGGTTTAAAATATAAGTGTACATTGGGCTGGATTCTTCTAAAGTAGATGTCTGTGATTTGTTGGCAATAAATTCGAACAATAACTGGACAGCACACAATCCACTTGTTTTCAAATAATATATTAAAAACAAGTCAAATATGTGTACAAAAATTCTTCACACTATGGAATATCACAGTTGTATCTAAAACTAAATAATTCTCTTTTCTTGTCAAAAGTCCACTTAGGCTGATTCAATTACTTTAGAATCCAATTGACAATGTTAACTATTTTTCTCTACCTTTATCACAATAGTATCAGCGAATATTTCACTTACGCTACCTCGTGAGTTACCATAGTTA